ATGCCTATAGCTTGCTCCTCTCATCAAACCTTCTTTATTGTTTGGACCGGCCGGTTCACCGGTTCAACCGGTTAAACCGGTTAAACCGGAAACCGGACCTGAAAACGGTTCAATGACCGGTCCGGTTTTGAAAACATTGGTGACATGTGCCCAATTAATCACTTAGAATCGCTGGTTCAAAGCATTAGTCTACTATGTAATTCTGATTAATTTGCCAACACATGTTCACTAAGTGAAAGGTTCAAATCGTAAGATACCTTCATGTATGCATAAGATTTCCAAAACAATTGGTGGGCTATTCTATTTTGAAAATGGTGGGGGAATGTTGAAGAATTTTCAAAATATTTTCAGGATTTGTGTTCGAATCACAAAAAGTTGATTCGAAGCAATTGCGCAGAATGCATTTGAGAAAGTGTAACTTTGGTTCGAATCATATAATTATGATTCGAACCATTTACGGAAAATAAAAATTTGAAAAGTTACGTTTTTGGTTCAAACCACAATTTTCTGATTCGAACCATTTACGTCAGAATAAGAGATAAAATTCAGATAAGTTTCTGAAGAAAGTGGATAACTTTGAAAGGCAAGGAAACACATGAGTTGGAATTCAAATCAAACCAAATGACTTTTGGAAGAGTTTCCAATGGATAAAAATTGAAAAGAAGTTGTTGTTCGCAATAGACATCTTGAAAAGAAGTGTCTATTCCAAGAGACATCTTGCCCTATAAATATAGAGTTATCTCTTTTTCTCTGGTGGAGTCTATTTGAATCCAGAAATATCTAAATAAAATAGCCCATTTTTGTATTGTGATTGCTCGAGAAATCCCTATACAAAAACTATTGTTTTGTCGCTTTCCAAAGGATGGTTCAGTGGTTGATCTTGCTAGTGCAAAAGCTAGATCAACAAGGCGCTTCATTGTATCCTATGGGCATTTCAGGTTACCCCTTTTGCATATCAGATCTAGTGGGGGCGAAATTAGTCTAAAGTGGCATTTGCAGCACGCCTTGAAGCCAATGATCTAATGATTTATTTTCTAAGACCCTATTTCTCCAACACATTAGGCATGTAATCATATACCAGGAGAAATTCTCCTTTTCACCTGCAATATTCGAGGAGCTGCACCAAATTCCTGTGTCTTAGTCTTCCCATGCTTACAATCTCTACGACAAATTGCTTCATCCCTTGTTTGGAATCATGGGAGATTCTTTTTACAGCAATCTGTGCAGTGGCAGAAGGAAGTGTTCCTCTATATACCTTTCCAAATCCTCCAGATCCCAGAAGTTGTTTCTCTTTGAACCCTCTTGTTGCTTGGTAGAGAATCTTGTATGAGAACCTTTGAGGTCCATATTCTCTCTCCCATTCTTCATGTACTTCTCCGTATTTTCTTCTCCAAAAAAGATAACCAGCTCCAGAGATTGCTACAAGCGCAACAACTGCTACTAGCAAAATAATAACCAATCCTTCTGGCCTCTTACTTTCTCCATCATGCGTGGAGAGCTGTGGAAGCTCTGAAATTTTGAGGCTTTGTGCTTTTCCATTCTTGGAAAAACTCCATCCAAGAATATAGTGGTCACTCGGAGCTTCACCAGTAGCTGCTGAGAAACCAACATACATTTCATCCAAGAAAATTTGAGACAGATCAATGAAAATTGACAGGAGAGGCCAATCAGGCTTTAGGCTTGTGATTGGTGCCAGAGTTACATTCAGCAACCCTTCTTCTTCATCATAGTCTATCCAAACCTGCATGGGATCTCCACTTATAAGCGTCAAGATTTTGTTCCTTCCTTCTTCCTTGGCAAAATATGTTGCTGGAGCTGATACATTTGATTTCAGGTCATTCACATCGATCCCCACATGATTTTCCTTTATATTGTCAAAATCAGGGTTATAAATCGTATCAAACTCAACTGCTAATACATGATTTGTTGGACGGCCATTGGTTGAAGTATTGAAAAGTCCAAGGTATTGGCCTGCAAGTGCCTGGCTGAAGTCCCTAGACGGAGAGATGACAAAGGCAATCCCATGGCCACTGAGACTAGGTGATTCTGGAACCATGGCAAACACAAAACATGTTGAGAATGAATAAGATGGAGCTGAATTTGAAGATCTATTGAATTGTAATGGGAATCTGTGGAAAGCATGACCCTTTTCTGTCTTTGAGGAGTTGGTGAGCTGCAAGAGTCCGTTTGGGTGGATTGTTGCAAGTCCATCAAGATGCAGGTTGCTGCCTTCACTGAATCCATTGAAGATGAATTCATTCTGATCTTAAGCCAAGGCCATAGATATCACAGTTGCATAGAAAGCTGCCAAGAAGCAAAGTGATCGACAATCAGCAGCCATTGGCAGGAGGATGGGGAAGCTTCTCTTCCTGAAAATTTAGAGATGTGTGAATTCTTTGCTTTCCTGTACTTCCCAAAGCCTTAAAATGACTTCTCTTCGTTTGAACATGTTTTTTGCAATTCACATGTTTTGTTATATGGCACTTCCTAAGTTTCCACTTTCTCATTGTATGGTCTACATGCAGATGTGACTCTTTGTTTAACAGCTTCTGCCGACCAAATTTCAGGTTATATCAACTAACTGACCTATAGAATCCATTTAACGTACAATGAAGTAGATATAAAATTAATTTGCTTGCTTAGACTTTAATTTAATCCTGCATTAATATCCTTACTTGCATTAGATCAAAAGAAAATGATGGCTTTACAATTCTATAATTTTCAATTCTTTCATTTCACAAACCAACCTTTGTTGCTCAAAGTTTCAAAAGTGGACGAAGATTTTCATACGTTTCTACCTGCAGTTGCTTTCAATTAGCCTCAGCCACTTGCATATAATTACATACAAATAGTACAAATTGTTGGAGTTGTGGTGTCAAAGCTGCACAAGTGGCAGCAAATGAAAAAGGGAGAGCTGCACCAACAGCACAATAGCAGCAAAGTGCAGCAAGCTAAGCTGCAAATGCTGATGAAATGAGGCTGTAATGAATGGCAAATGAAATGCAAATGAAAGGCTGCAAAATAGCAGCAAAGTACAGCAACATGGAGCGGCACAAAGGGCAGCAAATCTTTTAATGTAATCTTACATTAAATGTTTGGTAGATTTTCTTGTATTAAGTAAATATTAAGTGAGAATATTACTTTTAATGTATTAAGTAATTTCTGCTATATAATGGCAGAGGATGAATGAAAAAAAAAAAAAAAAAGAGTTTTCACCTCACCAAAAGAGGAAACTCCGGGTGTGTCTCCTTCTCCTCCAAGTCCTCTCTCTAAACACCCTTTTTACCACCAAAAATTTCAACACAAATGTTGGATTATTAATCTTTTCTTGTGTATGATTGTTACTTGCTTTGCTGTTAATAATTTATGAATTTTGTTGTTATTGTAAAAAAGAAAAGGACATTTGCTAAATTCCAAGATAGCTTAGTCCAAGCAGGTGATAGATAGGTACTGTAAACGAATATGCTGCAAGATCATAATCATAAAATAAATGCCTGAGTTCACACTCACTTAGTTTCCTGGAAATTTAGAGATATTTAGGAATAGAATTTTCAACTTGACTATTCTACGGTGTGTTCCTGGTGGCTGTGATTCAATTCTAGAAGATGTAAAGCAACTGAAAAAGGAAAAATTCCAATTTTACTGTGAAATGAAGCATGCTTACATTGATGTGAATGAACTCAGGAAAAGCAGATTGTTTACAAAAACTATTGTACTAAGCTAGATTAGAAAAATTCAGCTTTCCTGAACATTCAACTTGAGGGAGCAGCCTATGACTATGTACAACATTGTTCACAAAGCTGCTTTATTATCTTCTATATAGTAGTGGATTAGAATTGCACGTCTTAGTACTAGACAAATAGATTTTGTAGCTTCAAAAACAAATCATACAAAATAAACAAAACACACAGTCCAGGTAACATTTTCCTGATCAGCACTTGAATTGCATTTTTCAGTTGGTTTGGAGAATTCTTCCATGGCTTTCTTCCTCCATAACTGCAACATCAAAGCACACCGACATTTGAATCATCAATAACAGCTATAAAAAGGGGAAGAAAACAAAAAAAGATTGCAGATGACATGTTGTACTCCATGGTAATGAAAAAAACTAATCAACTTATTACCTTCTCCGGCATTTGTAGAGACAGGAATATTAGTTAAGGAGTTGGAAGCTGATTGTGAGATATTGTCATTAGATTGGGCAGGCTTCTCACTCCAGAGGAAAGAGTTCATGGCTTCTTTCACCTTTCCTACCACATCACTAGGACTTCTTGGGCTCATTGCTTGAGATATTACCTGAGAAAGTGCTTTCTCATCTTCCCCAGGCTCAAACTTGTTCATTATATACTCTTTTACTGAAACACCTTTGTCCCATATTTTCTCTTTGGAAGAATTAGCTTTATCCAATTTCTTCTGAGCCTCCTCGTTTTCATTACTAGCAGTAGTAGATTTACTAGATTCTTCTGTAGCCTCCTTATCAGTTCCATGAGCAGCATTCGGAGCAGCTCCCCCAACTGCAACAGTTAGCCCGGTTTGAATCTTTGTGGCAATATCATGAATTGTATCTGCTACTAGTTCTGTCGTGGCTTCGGGTAATGTCTTGTTCTGACCAGGCGGCTTTTGATCTTTCTCCTGTTCCATGTCAAGATTGGTATGACCTGGCATTGCGTGGTTCTCCGGGATTACTGTGAGATCCCTTGGACTCTGCATTGCAGTTACCTTGTACCTTTCCGGGGCCAATTCAGATTCATACACTGAACATAAAATGTCATAGATATAAAATGTATAAGCATCCTGTTAATCAATGAAAATGGAGTAAAAGGTTACATTTCATGTCATTACTTGGAGCGCCAAGATATTCAGGGTCTTCCTCTTCATCTGCCACCAAATCTTCAAATCTAACACCCGGAGAGGGTGTGCTGTCATCTACATCAATGTGCTTCTTTTTGCTGAGACTTTTCCTTAATTAGCTTTCTAGCCTTCTCCTTGACTTTAGTAAGAACAAATTTCTTGGGATGATGGTTACCATTATTGTCCTCTGAATCCTGATCCTTGAACAAAGGTGTGGTGATCATTTTTGAGAATCAACTGCTGTCTAAATAAAAAGCTTGTTACAAACTTACAATGGTTGAATTTTCTTTCAAAAAAAAAAAAGAAAAAGAAAAAGAAAAGAAAGGAAAGAAAGAAAGAAAATATCAAAAACGTGAAGATCTGGCTACAGAATATCGCAATGGTGGATATATACCCCAGCAAGATGGAGCTGGAGATGCTATGTCTGAGGTTTTAAAGGTAGAGATTAGTTACTCTCTTAATGACAGCACAAGCACACTGGATCAGTTAGTTTGAAGGTTCTTATAATCTATGTTTTTTTCCCCTTTCTTTTAATCTTGTGGGTTCTTCGTTCTTCCACTAATGTCCGTTGTACAACCCTATAATACCCAAGAACTGTCTAAAGATTACCTTACTTTAAGTGGAAAAAAAGTGGTTATACCTCAATATTATGAAAATTAATATCTATAGTATATACATATTCCTTGGAATCAAATATAACGAATACAAAACAGAATTCTTTCTTGCTTTTATAGATACAGGAGTCTAGGATATGTTTAGCCAAAACCAATATATTCCCAAAATATTATTGGAGGAATACCTCTCAAATTATGAAAGATATAGCCATAGATGGAAACATTATTCAATACAAAACAATTAAGAGTGTTCATATCCGATCCAATCCGATTGATCCGACTTAAACTGATCTAATCCAATAAAAAAATCGATCCAAAGGATTGGTTTAAATTCTAAAATTTTAAAACCGATATAATTGATTTGGTTCGTGATTTTACCTTCAAACCGCCCGAACTGCCCGATTACAAAATAAAATCCGATTAGAAAATAATTTAATTAAATAATATAACATTTTTTTGTAATATTTTAAATTTTTTTTTCTTATTTTACAATATTATAACTCCATTAACTTAATTAAAAAAATGAAAATAGAACATCTTCATATTCCCTAAGTTATTTTTCCATTTTAATCATACACTCTAACCTTAATTCTAAATTTTCAATTCACCTGCAACTCTATCATCTTAGAACTTATTTGCGTCTTTACTCTTAAAACCCTAAATTTCTAATTTATTCTTAAAATCATCTTATAATTCTCCTAACTAAATTTTAAATAAGTATCATTCTAAAAGCCTTAAAACTATATAATAAAATTAGTCTTAATATTTTACTATTTTTGGATATTTGGTTTAGATTTTTTAAATTTTGATTATGAATGCTTCTAATCAATTTTAGTAACATTCATCTTAAATGTTATTCACTTTTAACAGGATTTAGAAAATAATATTAAATTATTAATGCATTAAAAAAAAACTAATTTTAATTTTCAAGAATTATTTACGTTATGCTAGAAATTTGAAGTTATTTTTTATTGTTTTTAGTGCCTTTAATGATGTAACCAAAAAGAATTTTCGGAGTTTTTCAATTTTTACAAATGTAAAGGAGTATAAGAATTTGTTATAATTTTCACCTATTATTATGTTTTTACTGATTTGGATGTTAATGTATTTTATAGTTATACTTTCTATTTAATGTTAAAATATTTTTACATTATCTTATATATTTAATAATGTTAAAAACCGATCAATTCGACCAAACCACACCAATTCAATTTAAATTGGATTGGTTTGGTTATCACATAATAATGGATTGGATTGGTTTAAAAATTTTATTAACCAATTAAATTGGATTGATTTAAAAAATAGTAAAATCCGAACCAAACCACACCGCGAACACCCTTAAAAACAATAATAGAAACAAGTATTGTTGTAATTGGTGGAACCGAAGTTATAATTTCCTGAGCCTATGAAAGTAACGAACATGTGAATGATATTCTATTAGAAAATAATTTTCTAAGTCAATTCAAGCAGTATGTTCAAACTATATTATATGAAAAATTTTATACACCTTGTGGACATTGACTTTACATTTCTAGAATTTATAATGCTTCTACTAGAGAAATAGAACCATTAAATTTTCGCAGCCAACATGGTGAGGATAATAGATAAACTCAATCAAAAGAGATTAAAAAACCAATGTTAGCATTGTGGAATAATGAAAAAACACAAGAAAAAATAACCTTAGAATTTATCTTAGAAGAATTAAGAAGTAATTATGTAGAAGGTCCTACAAAACTATGGGAAGTTGATAAAACTTATGCCACAATCAAATTGATAAACCCAAAAACTATCATTAGAGTCAAACCAATGAGGTATAGCCCTGAAGATAAAGAAGAATTTGATAGGCAAATTCAAAAATTAATGGTCCAAAAAATTATACATGCCTCTAAGAGTTTGCATAGTAGTCCTACTTTTATGGTAAGAAACCAGAATGAATTAAAAAGAGGAAAAGTTAGAATGGTTGTTAATTATAAACAACTTAATAGCAAAACTAAATTTGATGGTTACTTTTTACCACATAAAGAAACTCTAATCAATAGCATTAGGGGAAAGAAAATGTATTTAAAATTTGATTGCAAATTAGGATTTTGGCAAATTCATCTAACTCCTAATAATATCCCACTAACAGCCTTTAGTGTCCCTATAGGATACTATGAGTGGTTAGTAATGCCTTTTGGATTAAAAAATGCACCTCAAATATTTCAAAGAAGAACGGATAATGTATTTTCTTCCATCAAGAAATTTTGCATAGTTTATGTGGATGACATACTAATCTTCTATGATAATGAAAAAGAACATTTATGTTATCTTAAGAAATTTACATATTTATGCAAGAAATATGGAATATTACTTTCTAAAAAGAAAGCAGAGATAGGAAAAACCAAAATTGAATTCCTTGGATTAACAATAGATTGCACAAGAATAGAATTAGAACCTCACATTAGTGAAAAGATTTCGGTGTTCCCAGATAAATTAGAATCTAAAGAACAAATTCAAAGATTTTTAGGAATGCTAAATTAAGTAGAGTAGTTTATTCAAAACCTAACTCAATTAAGACATCCTTTGCAAAAATTGCTCAAGAAAAAGGAAAATCAACAATGGGAAATTTATCACACTAATCATGTGAAAAGAATAAAAGAATATTGCAAAAACCTTCCTAGGCTACAATTGCCTAAAGAAGATAAAGAGTTAATTTTAGAATGTGATGCCTCAAATTTTTATTGGGGAGCAGCTTAGAAAAATTCTCAAGGAAAAGTTTGTAAATATGCTAGTGGTACATTTAAAGATGTAGAAACTAGATATCATTCAAATCATAAAAAGTTATTGGTAATTAAAAATGGAATAAAGAAGTCCAGCTTCATCTTATTACTAAAACATTTTAAGGTCAAAACTGACAATACTCAAATTAAGGGATTTATTTTTAATAAACTACCTTTAACACCAAAATATAAAAGATTAAATAGATTGCAAACATTTTTTTGTTGAATATGATTTTAAAATTGAACATGTCAAAAGGACTAATAATTGTCTTGTAGATTTCTTGAGCAGAGAAAGAGCTAATGGATGAAATCCTAAAACTCCAAAATAAAGGGAAAGACCTTATTCTTAAAAGTCAAGAGATACTTATTGAAGGCAATAACCAAATAAGAAAACGCCAAGAAAAAATGATCGAAGGCCATAACCTTATGGATGAAGGCCAAGAAAAAATTATTAAAGGCCATGAGTTATTAAATAAGGGACAAGATGCATTTGAAGAAGTCAAAGAGCTTATAGAAAAATTAATGAATTCTGGAGTATTTATTATTGTCGAAATCAGCTCTAAAGGATCTAGTCAGATGACAAAGAAAAGCTCCCAACAAAAGCTAAAAGAAAAGTTTGAACAAGGTGATCCTTCAGTAGGGTTACTTGGAGAAAGTTCAGGGAAATTTGACTATTATGTTAAATACTCTCCCTCAGAAACATCAACATCTCAAGCTAAAAAATCAACCATTCAAAGTGCTGAAAGCCATAACTTTCAACGTGATTACTTAGGAAAGGAAGAAAAGAAAGTTACAATAATAGACATCTTGTCAAAAATGACAATGAGTGAAGAATATCTACAGGAATACCACAGAGTTTGTAAAATGACATATTCAATGAGATCTACCGAGAATTGCCATCCTATTCATGAAGGGATTTATCCCAAAATTAATTTCATGTAGGGTGCAAACCCAAAAGCAATTAAAGAATTATTCAATTATGGTTTTGTAAACTATATTTATCTCTTAAAAAAAATGAAGAAGTTTCAAAACTTCAAGAAGTTATACGCCAAGAAGTGAAAGACTTCAAGACTGGCACCAAAGCTCAAGAAGTAGTTTTTGTCAAAATCTACTTTGCAGCACTAGAATGGAAGAAATCTTAATATTTCCCCAGTCATCATATAGTTCAAATTCAAATTCAGTCCAAGAAGATCAAGGTAGAAGCAAATGAAGATCAAAATTTTCAAGACTTTGAAGAGTCTCTTTGTGGGATCGATTTCATCCAAGAGAGACGAGCTCTAGGATTTAAGGTTTTACTCCAGACCTTTGACAGAATGATAGAGATGAAGAAGACTTGGACATATGGCTTCTCCAATGAAATCTCAGTAGTATCCACTGGTGCAAGATTAATGACAAGCATAAGTCTGTTCAAATTAAAGCAAAAAAGAAAGGAAATCTTTGAAAATCTAGTCTCAGCCAGTGAAGCAATCCTCAATAGACTATGCAAGCTATTAAAGCACGACAATCATTGTGGTTTCTATTGCAAAAAAGAATTTGCAAAAGGAAAAGCTAAAGCCCCATGTGACAAACGGACCATTCCCTCAAACAGTGAAGAGGATCTCATCATTCTTTGAAGAATCCAATGACAAAAGACGTAAACTCTTACGTCATTAAAGAGAAAGAAGAGTACGAACAAGATTCCATGTAATCTGTTTTAGCAAAAGTAAGAAGTAAGTTTGGATCGCCAAACAATAATGTAAACTTTAGGCAAATGATGCAAATAAGCCCCTAAACGTGTTAATTGGTGGCATATTAGCCCCTCAACCGAAATCAGACGCATTCAGCACCCTAAACTCTTAGATGGTGGCAAAAGAGCCCTTATTTAATGGAGACGTTATCTTTCCGTCCATATTTGCTTACATGTCTTTTTCTGGGCCCACTTTTAGTTTTTGTATGCTTAAGTGGACATTTGTGAACCCACTATGATAGAGTCAATGAATAAAAGTATAATTAATTAATGAAGAGAAATTATACTATATAGAAATTTTGTATATTATATTTATATAAAATTTTAATTATTTATCTTTTTTTTAATTAAAGCATCAATTATTTTTAATAAATATGAATAAATCTCAACTATTAAAAATAAAAAAATAAAAAATTAAAATTTTATATAAATGTAATATATAAAATTTATGTGTAAATAAATTTTATTATTAATTAATTAATATAAAATATCAATTTGTTGATTTTTTTTATTTAAGAAAACATAAAAAATTAAAAAACTAAAAACTAAAAACTCTTTTGAACGGCTATTAGTTGGAGGTAGGAGGTGGTTGTCCGGCACCGGCGACCACCACCAACAAGGCACCAACAATTGCAAACTATTTGTTTTTTTAATCTGATTTTCCAGATTTGTTGCAGAAAAAAAAAAATGAATTCCACCACCTAAAATTCATGTTTTTTATTCAAATTGAAGAACCCACTAAGACGATTGCTCAGAATTGAAAAGGGAAAATAGAGAAGGGAAAGAAGGAAAAGAACAAAAAAGAAGAAAGGAGAAAAACTATGTAACCATCTCCATTAATAGTACACAAGGAAAAGAACAAAAAAGAAGAAAGGAGAAAAACTTTGTAATCATCTCCGTTAATAGTACACATTTTCTCTTTCAACCATAGCTGTGAATCAACAAAAAATAACAAAGGAATCATAGACAAAATCAAGCAACCACAAGGACTGAAACCTCAACCCTATAGCAACTTGTTGGGAATCCACGGAACACAAACTATGTTTTGCTAAATTTTTCTGGAGTTTTGTTGCCCAAGATAGACCAGAGCTCGTTGTTCGGCAGCCATGAGGTCCTCTTCGAACTAAGCTCGCTGCACGGAGACCTATAGATTCTGTTCCAGCCCTTGGCTCACTTTTCGATGAGCCACACTCTGATCCAAACCAAACTGCTATAGCAAGTTTGTGAGGGGGAAGAAGGACGGACGAAGGAGGAAGAAAGGAGAGGAAGCAGAGAGTGTTGGTTTTTTAAAACAAAGAAATGGAGAGAACCGAGAGGAAGATGAAAAACAGAGCATAAGCTGAAATGGAGAGAAGTATATGACTTCAACTCAAATTTTCTCATTAACAAACTCTCCTATATATAGGAGAAAACAAATAATTCAAAATTCAAACTTTTCTACATTAAAATAAAAGTACATTTGAAATTTAAACAAATAACAGCTACTTTTGCCACCTGCTGCGTCCTTTGGCAGCTTTGCAGCCCTTCATTCAGATGCCTTAGCATTTGCACCTGCATTTGCATTTACATGTCATTTGCTGTTGACTGCAGCTTCATTTTCATCAGATTTGCAGCTAAATTGCTGCCATATTTGCTGTCATTTGACAGCTTCCTTGCTGCCATTTCATGGCAGTTTCATTTCACCATTTTTGCAGATTTGAATGCCACATTTCTAACAATAATTCCAACAGAGAGAAGAAAAAATGGAGATGAAGACAAAGGGTACAAAGACATTTTTGTCTTTTAGTTTTGTTAATTATTTGAATTAAATTAAATCACATAAGGTCTGCCTCGCTGCCTATCATCAAACAAATAGCTAGCTAATCAAAGAAATGGCTTCCAACAATGCTTGTGGATCCCACCAAAGCTTTTCACCGTTAGTTTTAAACGACCTAATGACGTGTCCCGTTCAATAAGCGCTTTTTTGCCACCGTTGAAGAGTTTAGGGTGTTGAATGCGTCTGATTTTGGTTGAGGGGTTAATATGCCACCTGTCCACAAGTTTAAGGGTTTATTTGCATGATTCACCTAAACTTTAAATGTCAGTAATGATGAAAGAAAAGATTCTAAGAAGTGTTATAAAAAGCCTCCTATAAGCTGTAACGGGTATCAGGGCATTTGAACATCCAAATACCTTACCTAAAAAACCTTTTATCATGCATTTGTAAACACCCTTCAAGAGGAAAGGGAACTTTCCATTTCTTTTCTCATAAATAAAAGGTTAAATACCCTTTTTTGTCCCTCTACTATTAAAAAAAGCCCATTTTTGGTCCTTGTATTGAAAAATCCCTTTTTTAATCCCTAAAGTTTAAAACCCAACTCCTTTTTTTGTCCCTTCGTTAAATTTTTGCTAATGTATCACATTAATTAACAAAATCACATAGTTATTTTTTATATGAATGATATTATAAATGATGTGAAAATTACGTGGATAAAATTATAAATCTATGTAAGCATTTCATCTAAATATTTTATATCATGTATACAAATTAAAAATTTTACTTTTTAATTTATGAATTAAATGAATTTAAACAAAATTAACTTTAATTTTAATTTCTTATCTTCTTCTTTCTCCTCTTCCTTATCCTCCTCCTCATCCTCATCCTCGGCATCCTCTTCAACTCTTCATCATCTTGGGTTCCTCGCAGAACCCAGTTGCAATTTTTGGGTTCCTTTAGGAACCCAGATTTGTTTTCTCAAGCAACCAGGTCATCTTCTTCATCTTCTTTACCACCACCATCATCTTTGATTTCTCCAAGATCATGGTCGTCTTCATTAGGATTCACAACAGCCAATACTCCAACGTCATCTTCTTCATCTTCTTTACGACCACCACCATCTTTGATTTCTCCAAGATCATGGTCATCTTCGTTAGGATTCACAGCAGCTAGTACTCCAAGAAGACATCGTGGAAAGAGAAGCCTACCTAAACAATTTCTTTTTTTTTTAAATATTTCTACATTACTTTGGGCACCTCGAGTTCCTCGTGGAACCCAGATCTGGGTTCTAACCCTATTTTTTTCATTTTTTTATTTTAAATGTATCTATCTTCCATAAATGAGCCAAATGAAACCAAAATTTCATGTTCAAGTCATGTTCAAAATTTGGGTTTGAAACTGCAGGTTCATGTTGTTGTATTCATGTTGCTATGAACCTCATAACTTGGTTCATCCATGACCTAGGTTAACATGAAGAAAGGGTTGAAAATATGAAATTAGGTAAAGAGTAAAGAGAAGGATCTGTTTTACAATGGAGAAATTAGGATTTATAGTATTGATAAATCACTTTAATTAGATAAATTCTTAATTATATCTTGACTAATCTCACATGTAAATGGTTGATTATAAATGAAAAATAAGAATTTTGAAAGAATGAAGATGATATCTGGAGAGGGAACTGAAAACATCGATTAAGGTTTTTTTTCGCACAGGAAGAGTGACATGGAGAGGTGCTATTAAGTCCACGTAAGCATCTTTACATGGTGGAATATCTATGTTAGATGTTTGTGTTAAGATAACATGCCACGCGAGTAAAAAAGGGCTGAATTTTAAACTTTAAGGACCAAAAAGGGGATTTTTTTGGTACAAAGACCAAAAAGAGGCTTTTTTCAATAGTAGAGGGACCAAAAAGGGTATTTAAACAAAATAAAATCATGTTTTAGAATAATTCTTGTGCTTTATCCTTCTTGATTTCCATCATAGAAAATAATGAGAAAAACCCCTGAAGATACTTAGATAGCAATGAGGTCACTAGTCCTGTTCAAATACCTGTGTAGCCAGAGTGTGGCATTGAGGGTTGAACAAAGGAAGCATCAGCTTGACCAAAGGCTAGACTAAGAGATTTTCAGGTATAGTTCTTACTTATTCTTTTTTTATCATGCGGAAGCTAGGAGGGCATAGAAACATTCCTATTATTCTTTAACATTATTATTTTTGAGATTAGATATAATAGGGAAATAGTACCTAACCTCTTATATTTCAAATAGAAAAGCTCATCTTAGAAACTTATTAATAATACTTTATGATGCTTGACTTCATTCAAGAAATAATTGTAAATAAAGTGGTTTATGAACATCAATGCGAATATTATAAAAATAAAATAGTAAATATTTTTAAAAAAATAAGTAATATTGAAGATCTAAATGATTACTATCTATTCAAGAAACTCAAAAAGTTAAAGTGAATAGCAACGGATTTAAATGAAGGTTTGAAAAGACTCAAAAAAGCTAAGCAAATACTATCTCTACTAGCCACTTAATAGATTTGATTCCACTGAACTTAGCATACCAGCTACATACTAATTTGTAGTCTGAGTTAGGTTTCGAAAACTCTAGAAAAATTTTGGTATCAGAGCCAAAGAACAATGTTTTTAAGAATGGAATTAAGAAAGTCAGTAAGATTTTGTGATCCACAAATTGATATTATAACAAAAATTATAGCACTAGAAGGAATGATACCCTACAAAACTGATGAGTTACTATGAGACAGATATGTCTATAAAGTTTGCAAAGCATGCCTACGGAATTGATAAGTTACTATGGGACAAATATGTCTATAAAGTTTGTAGAGCATCAACTCTAGAAGAATCTAAAGATAATAGATGAAACTGAAAAAGATAGGAAAGTTAGTAGATGATTTGTTAAATTAAGTCGATATTGTTGAAGATTTGATGCATTCACTGTTCATTTTTTTTCCTGGAATCTTCTTCTATTGCCTTGAAGATATACAATTACCAAGGAGTTGTCAATGAAGACTACAATATAGTGAACACACCAGCTACCGGAAATTTTACTTGCCGGATGTACTGAGATTTTCCGTTTGAATGTAGGTAGGTACAATTTCTTCTTTCTTTGTTTTAGCCACCTGTTTTTATTTTGGTCTATTTTCTCCCTCCTGATGTTCAGGCTGCTACCCCAGCTCCTGTTGTTCGAAACGATGCTGCCGATGATGACGATGATGAGCCATTGAATGAAAATGACGATGATGATTTGGATGATGTGGACCAGGGAGAGGAGCTGAACACACAACATTTTGTTTTGGCTCAGTTTGACAAGGTGCTACTTGGAATAAGCATGAATCCTGTTGCACATACGCGATATAGCAAAATTTGTTTTGAAGAAGTTTCATTGTTTTCACTGTAATCTTATTATTAATAACAATATATGTTTTGGTGGGTAGGTCACGCGTACCAAGAGCCGATGGAAGTGCAAACTCAAGGATGGAATTGTTCACATAAACAACAGGGACATTCTCTTTAACAAGGCAAGGTTTTCCTCAATTGATTCCTGGAATTCCCTTTCCCGTTATTTTCTTAAATCCATGGTTTTTACTGGAGTGCTTGTATTTTTTGCAGGCAAATGGAGAATTTGAGTTCTAATTTTGTTGGAGACATGCCTATTTATCATCAAGTTTTGCGGTTAAAGATCAAATCTGAGTTGTCTTTTGGTCCTACGTAATTTTTTTAATTATTATTATTAAATAGAAGCTTGAGATTGTGCATAAAAAAAATGGTATAAGCCATTTAGGCCTTAGAATCTATTGATACTCAAAACATGTTTTATGAAGTTTTACCATTTCCCAGATGGAAATTGTAATTCCATTCGTACTTACAAATACTTCGGAACTATTTTTTTCATGTTGACAATCTACCAGTTGCTCCGTTTGTTCATTTTCTTCATGTTTTTGAAACCAAATCAATTCCCAATCGCATACCTGTAATCTTCTATAATGTGTTTGCATTGAATGCTTGATTGCACCAGAATCAGACATTGATAAAAATGATGATTATTTTCTTAG